TTTTCTTCGACCCACCTGCTATCGTCAAACCTGGGGTTGCGGGAAGTTGACTCATCCTCGCATGCAGGCTTTAAGCATTGACCAACAAAAATGCTATTCTCTCGCCGAAGCGTTAGCTTTGATGGTGCAGAAGGTGGGTTAGTCTGACCAATGAGTATCCCTATCGAAGCGGACCTTTCGAAAGTTCTAGTATGTGATTGGCTTATCTTACAGCTCTGCCTTGTAACGCTATTCCTTTTTGAGCACGCCGAAAGACTCAATCTCCTGCTCCTCCCACCTGCTGCGCCATGTTTCCAGCACAGCTTCAAACTCGGCAGTGAAATACTTAGACGACGCCCTCCCCGTGGCCTCAGGCGTTTTCTCTTATTCTTTTACTCCTTTCCTTTTCACTACCCATCTATCGCGACTAATATTCTTGTTCGATCAAGGACTCTCTTGTATCGTAACAGTGACCCATCTGTCAACTACTGCCATCCTTGCACTTATATCCTGAATACCTTAACACCCACTACTAAGGTACTGCAGAACTGGCGACAAGTTTGGCGCTTCAAGGCTTTGCCTACTTGTCTAATTCACGCTCTATCTCGAGCGATCTCAAAACACCATAGTTTGAGTGAGGTCAATCTGATTCAGCAAACAGCAACAACAACTGCACTTTTTTCGGCAAGATAACACAACTTTGTCCTCATAACTCGATACTTGCGACGTACCCCACGTGAGAGTAAGCAGGTCGGAGTAAGCAACAGTCCGAATGTTACACTCGCTCTTGTTTGGGTCAACTAACAAGGCCGCATAGACTCGTTGAAAGCGCAACTCCGCTCCCTGCTCAAAATTCCGTCCTTTCAAGCTAACCACGGAACCTCCCGGCTTATAATGGCGACCAGTTCGAACACTCTGCCTCAAGGGTTCTCCGTTTACCAGCCTGCTCTTGGCGCCCAGCTCCAGTTCTTCCCTGCTATCGGAACCCGTGAACTTGACGAGCTTGTGAACGCTTATATCCCAGGCCCTGCTTCAACCCAAGAGAAGCGTGCAACTATCTCTCTCAACTACCTGGAGTATGCACACCTGACTGGACAGACTTACAAGTTCTACCCTGTTTACACTCTTTCTGCTTCTGTCGAGTCTCCTCTTGGAGCCAGCCCTCTCCAGGACTCTGGCTATGGATCTTTCAACACGAGCCCTGTCACATCCAACTGGGACTGGACCCATGTGAACACTGCTTCTTCCCGCCGCTCATCTCCCAAGTCCACTGCTAGCCAACAGCCCACCGACTTTTCTAACCTGCCTGGAATGAAGATCATGACCAAGGACGGTCGCGATGTGACAAACTCCGCGTCCCGAGGTTCCAAGACCAAGGAGCAGCGAGACCACGCACACCTCATGCGAATCATCAAGGCTTGCGAGAGCTGCAAGAAGAAGAAGATCCGCTGCGATCCGAGCCACAAGAAGCGCGGTGTTTCCAGCACAGCGGCCCAGCCTGCCAAGGTCACCAAGAAGACGAAGACATTGATTCCCGAGATCAAGGCTCCTGCCGCTGCCCCCAGCGCTTTTGCTGGCCAGGTGGCAGTCCCTGAGCTCGAGTTCTCCACAAACCCCGAGACTCTTTCTGCTTCAGGTGGATCAGAAAGCGATATGTGGGAGCAGTTCATTCAATACCCCGCTGTCGATGATAGCTACGACTTCTTCAACGACCCTGAGGGCTACTTCTCCCCCCAATCCTCCTCCTCTTTATCCGAGTATTCTGCAAAGCTTGCTACTCCGACAACAGACGAAGACATTCTTCGCCGCCCTCGTGGCGCGACCGATGTAGAGATTGCAGAACTGGGCGATTCCGCGGCGTATCTGCCATTCAACCAGGTCGATGCCAATCACGACTATGTGGACTTCAACCTTTACTCTCCCGAATCGTCTTTCTCGGAAGATGAGCGCATGGTCCCGATTCAAGTCTCTAAGCAGTCGGTTAGTCAGCCGAGATCGCCAGCACCGAACCCGCTACTACCACGGGACTCAAGTGGCTTGAGTAGCCCTGGCGACGAGTATGGCGATGGCCAACTTACCGACAACCTCTACGGAGAGCAGCTTGTGCCTGGTTCTTCAGCGCCTCAGCATCTCGCTACTCATGATCAGCTTGGCCAACAAGACGTCTATCGCGACCCGACAGCTGATTTGGAGCACCTTACCGCCGTTGCGCCAACATCTAGTCTCAGCTCGGACCTTCTGAGCATGACTGATTCATCACTGCACTACTCGCCAGTTGTTGTACCCAGCACACGGTCTTCCGTGGAAACCCTGGTATCTACGAATAGTAACGTACGTATCTCATTGGTCCTTTCATCTCTTTTAGAGCGGCAACTAACTTGGGAAAAGGTGACAATCAGTCGCGATATTATCGAGGCCCGCGGAGTGACAACAACAGGATCATCAGATCTCCGATTAGCAGAAAATGCAACGACCCATTCTCCCTCTCAACCAATCGAGATTACGGCTACACAACAGAACTCTCGTTCATCAGCGGCAGTGGCTGCACAACCGGAATCTCAGTTGACCGAGATTACGTCCGCTCTGCCAGCACACCGATCAATGGAGACTCTGTCTACAAGCAGACTACCAGCTTATCACACTGTCGATGCTCAAGATGCACTCGACCAAATGGATTTGCGCGATGTAGAGATTCACAATGTGGCGGCAGATATATCCCAAGCTTCTCCCATGGCCGTTGCGGGTCTTCATGCATCACGCAATCTGACATCGACGGCTCGCCAACCCGAGTTAGAGTCCATCGCAGCCTTTGCAGCGATGTTGATCGCTCCGACCGTTTGGTCCTATGCCTTCCAGCTTCTTGCCAACATTGGCGACTGCTCTGAGCAATGGAGACGTTCTTCTGTTCAAACCCAGAGGAAGATCGACCATTTCACATCGAACCTTGGAATGATCACCACCAAGCTACGGAATACGACATTGGGCGGCAAGACACCAGTCAGTCGGATGTGTTCGATGAGGGCAAGCCTTATTACTGTGTAGCGACTTACACTTGACGCGCGCCAGGTTAAATGAACAGGGTTGCCTGTAGCCCTTGGAGCTTGCGGCTAGTATCATTGGTATTATTGTGTTTGTAGCATTGGGAGCGAATGACTGCGCTGTTGCAATATAGCGCGAGTGACGAGTTTAAAAACAACTGAACTGGCATTCAAAGCCTTTTGATCTTCTAAACAGGCTTCATTCTCGTATTGTGATTTTCAAGATTTCTGATAGACCGTGTACTACCTAAGGTAGTGGCTGCCACTTATTAGGTGTAGATCGGGAATAAGGATGTGATGTGTGTTCTTCTTACAGTGTATGCCGATGGATTGTCAAACTTTGAGCTCGTCTTAAACACTTTATTTTTTATTAATCGCTCCTCTCTTTCGCTAGGTAGGTCTTTACCTCTGGAAAAGCAGGGAACTTGGCACCAACTCCTGCTTCTAATGCTCAGTTATTAAGCGACTTTGTTGTACCTCTGTGAGTCGTGAAGCAGGCCCGTGCACTGGTCTCTGTGGAATCTGTTAGTGACATGTAGGCTCCGTTAACTACAGCTGCGAAGGTGGGGCATCCGTTACAAACGGCAAGCTAAATGTGGTCTAGCTCCCGGCAGTAGGTTAGTAGTGAAATCTTCTCTCAAAAGCGAAGTAGGACATGCCCATCTTGAACTCTTCTTATTATATTTTGGGGACTCGAGTGAGTCAGTCTGATCTTTTTGAAACCATAACTGGCCCCGCGGATCTTCTTAACTCCAACTCGTCACTTTTGGTGTCTTCTTACAAAGGAGAAAAGTTGATCTAATATCTCTCCATGCCCGCTGTACGCCTTTTGAGTCGAAAAGAGAATCTCGCCGACGTATGGAAGATTGTTACACCCACCTGTATTTTTATACCACGAGCGTTGAGACATCTCATTGAAACCAGAACTCCGACGCGGGAAGAAATCGTTGGATGAGCCATCTCCAGAAGCATTATTCTATTTGTGCGCTTAACTTATTCTGTATAAGCCAGTAAATGCGCCTAGTGATGAGTTGAACTTGTCAACTGCAACAAGAGCCGTGGCATAAAGAAGAAAGAAAGGCTTGAGGGGGAAGTACTGTGCAAGGATAAAGGGAAAAAGGTACAGAAAGAACAAAGAAGCAAAACTGGCAGGATTATAGAAAGAAGGCATTGAAAGTCCTTTGAGGCTCTGCTCTGGTAGACCTGACCCTAGGAGTACCTAGATCTAGGTCCCTAGGTATCCGATAACAGCATGGGAGTTTTAAAGTCACTGGGACTCTCACCAGTCAAAGAGGCAGGTGCAAAGGCCATCCGCCGCCTCTTTGGGCGAGTGATGCCTGCTGAAAGCGACGGCGTCACTGCCAGTGCCAGTGCCAGT